TATGGTATGGTTAAAACAATTTACGAAAATACTGCTCTATCTAACTAGGGTTGGGAGAACCGCCAAACGAGAGGGCAACTTTCCTCCCAAACCCGGAAACCAAGATGCGCAAGAAGCCAAGAATACAAACTGCCTATTGTAGAAGAGGGAGGGATAAGGGGGTGACGTGGACCTAAATAAAAAAAACACATTTTCTACAAAGTGTTATATCTTTTACATTTTTGCTCAAAATATTTTAAAAAATATACCAAATTTCATAATTTTTTACATACTTTCATATAACACCAATATTGGATATATAAAATTAAAAATATATCTGAAGACCATATGAGGTGAAAAAGACCCGTTGCAACCTTTAAATTATATGATGCACCAGGTTGTATCATACACACGGTACAATCAGGTATTTTTAACTCATACATAATGAAATGAGTATTAATATGAAATTATAAAATTAGTACATAAATAATTTTTATGAAAAATGTTATCCCGTAAATCAAGTTTCACTATATATAATCTATCATCATCAGTACATTTGCTACATATATATGGATTATGGAGTATTTTATTTGACTTCATATACAGAGTATAAATGATTTTAAAAATAACGATTAGATCTTAATTTTGGCACTTGAATCTACTTATAAAAAAATGAACCTAAATCTACCAATTATATCTTCCCATTTTTGTAAAAAAAGACATTGGCTTACAATTAGGTTTAGTGACGGCGGAGCATGCGTGCATGGTGACTCTGTTTTTCGGCTTATCAGCCAACTTTTTAACTAAACACATAACTTTTGATTTCACCCACTAAATTGTGTAATAATTAGAAAAAGTAAGGTTGCAGTTACTTTTATGACTGTACTGACTGAGGTTACTGTAGATGACCATTCTAGTTATTTTTCATATAATTGATTATTTATTTTATTAATAAAATATACATGGTATTTTAAATATAATTTTTTATAAATCACCAAAATCATCCAATACAGCCAATTTAACCAAACCTTCTTAAATTTAATCAGAATCAGTCGATTCAGCAAATTTCAGTTTTACCAAATGAGTTTTTGATCTTTTTACCGTACCCTCATGTGGTCTTCTGATTTTTTAAACTTTATATATATAATATTGATGTCAAATGAAAGATCTCAAAAAGTTATAAAATTTGGTATACTTTTTAAAAAAGTTGGAGTAAAAATGTAAAAGATATAATCTTTTTAAAGAAAAAGGGATTTTTTTTAATCTTTTGTCTCCCACCTCTTTTTCTCTCCTCTGCAGCGAGTGTTTTCCCAGGCAGCTTTCGGTTTTCCATTTGGCGTTTTTGTTAACTATAGTTGAGATCTAGCAGTATATTGGTAATTACATTTAACTACACCCCAATTTTGTAAATAGTTTATTTTTTAGCATTAATTTAGTAAAAAACTCGAAAAAGTGTGGACTTTTGGTAAACATGTTTTATCGTCATTTCAAGCTATTCACATTTTTACATTGGTAGAAATTAAAAATACTAAAATGGAATAAGTAGAAAATTTAGTTTGTTTAGATTAAGCTAGATTAAAGATCTAAATTGTAAAAATCAAATAATCACAGTTTACTTTTGGAAAATATAAAATGCAAATTTGAATAAAGAAAAACAATACTAATCATTAATAAAAAATAAAAAAAAATAAAAGAAATTTTAGTGAAAATAAATAAAAAATGACTATTTTTTTTAATTTCGGTACAATTGTAGAATATTTGCTATTAATTTTTCATGCTTAAACATATTTAGTTTGAAAATTCATAAAAATATTTCTATATCTTCTGAAAATTGAGAGTTGATAGTTGGGATTAATAAAAAAAATGTCAACTATAGTTGGGATTATTTAAAACTTACACATAGTTCACATTTAAAAATGACCTGCTATACCAGGTTTTAACAAGTTAGCTACCATTTTTGGAAAATGGTCCCTATAGTTTGGACCACCCGGGAATAACCGATAGTAGTTGGGATTATTAACGACTGATTGGTAATAGTTGTGATTATTATTTTCAATTTTTCTATAATCAATTTATACTCTATTTTCCTCCAGACCACTCGTTTTCACCTTCGCTCTTCATCTTATATTTTTCTCGTCTGCTCTCCCTTCTCTCCGCTCTACATTTTATATTTCTCCTGTCTGGTCTCCATGCTATCCCGTTGACTTCTTCTTTTTGCTCTATACGGACCGATAGCAACTAAAAGAAGAAGTCGGTGGGATAGCAGGGAGAGAAGAAGAAAGAGGAGAGCAGCACGGGCGGAGCTAGAGGGGGCCAACCTAGGCCATGGCCCACCTCAAATTTAAAAAATGATATATTTTTAAAGTAAAAATCCTGTGTAATTTTTTTTCCTCAAAAAAATCTTTGTACTGCTGCAGTTCGGTCTAGTGCCCTGGCTCCGCCCTTGGAGAGCAGATGAGAGAAATATAAGATGAAGAGCGAGAGAAGGGAGAAATATAAAATGAAGAGCGGAGGGTGGAAACGAGTGAACTGGAGGAAATTAAAGTTTATAAATTAATTATTTAATTACTTGGACTGCAACAATATACTACAAACTGATAGTTTGCCATGTCACCAATTTTAACGTTTTAATAGAGCAAATGTACTTGGTCGACTTTAAAAATGTAAGTTCATGTACTTTGTAGTTTCAAGTGTATGATGGAGTACTACTTACTCCACTTAAAATAACTTCATGTACCATTTTGACCATTTTCTCTTTTTTAATATAATTCATTCTGTATTGTTGAGATGTAAAACAATTAAAACTCGTTTTATCAAATGAATGAATTATATCTTTGGTAATTAAAATAATCAGAATAAAGGTTTTTTTTAATAAAGGTGTTTTTAATTTGACTATTTTTAGTCAGTACCAGACTAGATTTATATAGATCGGACTAGACCAAATTGGACTAATAGTAAGAATACCAAAATACGCATACACTAGATGTTTACTAGACCAAATTGTATTAGACCAGACTTAAATAAATCTGACTTGATATTGTGGTTCATTGTCAAGGTTTGTATATACCTGCACGCAGCACGCCCACACATTTAAATGGGATAAATCGAAACCCTAGGTGGTGGCTGAACGATTATGATTGTCATTTGCGTAGGCTCGAATTGCGTTTGTTAAACATAAACAATAACGAATGGGGTTTTACACAGATCAAATTGCAATAGATCAGGTGAGATCAGATCATACAAGTTTAGGTAAAGGCAGAATGCACTATACCACATGACTAGATTTAAATATATAATATAATATTATCAGATTTTTTTTACTACAAATTTGATGTATACAAAAGTTGAGTCTTCTCTATACTAGGACAGGACTCCAACACACATATAGCGTCTTGACGCGTTTGTATTCTAACCTTACTTCAAAAAGAAGTTGATAATGATGTTAATGCAAACCTAGTCAAAGAAAAAAAAATGCAAATGGAAATTAGGATTTTGAAAGAGAGAAACGAACAAGTTCTTGATACATAATAATAATAATAATAATAATAATAATAATAATAATAATAATAATAATAATAATAATAATAATAATAATAATAATAATAATAATAATAATAATAATAATAATAATAATAATAATAATAATAATAATAATAATAATAATAATAATAATAATAATAATAATAATAATAATAATAATAATAATAATAATAATAATAATAATAATAATAATAATAATAATAATAATAATAATAATAATAATAATAATAATAATAATAATAATAATAATAATAATAATAATAATAATAATAATAATAATAATAATAATAATAATAATAATAATAATAATAATAATAATAATAATAATAATAATAATAATAATAATAATAATAATAATAATAATAATAATAATAATAATAATAATAATAATAATAATAATAATAATAATAATAATAATAATAATAATAATAATAATAATAATAATAATAATAATAATAATAATAATAATAATAATAATAATAATAATAATAATAATAATAATAATAATAATAATAATAATAATAATAATAATAATAATAATAATAATAATAATAATAATAATAATAATAATAATAATAATAATAATAATAATAATAATAATAATAATAATAATAATAATAATAATAATAATAATAATAATAATAATAATAATAATAATAATAATAATAATAATAATAATAATAATAATAATAATAATAATAATAATAATAATAATAATAATAATAATAATAATAATAATAATAATAATAATAATAATAATAATAATAATAATAATAATAATAATAATAATAATAATAATAATAATAATAATAATAATAATAATAATAATAATAATAATAATTTTCCATGATAAATACAATAACATGAAAAATAATATTAATATTTAATATTGATTACATCATATTACTCTAATAATAATACCTTATAAAAGATTTCCGATGAGGGAGATTCCATTTCTAATAAGAACCTATTTGGTAATACAAACGTTGGATGAATTTGCGAAAATTGCTGAATTTGTAAGTGAAGTCGCTGAATATGTTAAATTATGGAAAAAATATAAAATATATGTTATTAATAAAATAAAAAAAGAATACATAAAAACGTCTACGGTAGTCATGTTCAATAAATTGTAAATTATATTAAAAAAATAATTTCAATATTACGCAATTTAGCTCGTGATATCAAAGTTTGATATTTAATGAAAATTAACTGATTAAACTCATAAGTCCAAGACAAGAATTTCGTGACGGCTCTAAAATGAGTTGGAATGGTTGGGGTTTGGATGTGCGGTGGTTAAAGTGCCTACCATTCTATTTGTACGGTCTAGATTCCGCGAAACAATATTGTGTAACGACATACGTAGTATTATTATTTGAATAAAAAGTCCATTATTGGAGCGCACACAAAAAAAAAAACAGAGAAAGAAATGAAAAGGACGCAACCGTTGCGTTTGGGGTGGCTTTTTAAACCCAGAGAAACGCCCTTTGCTTCCTCCCCTCCACCCATTGTCAAATTATTATTGCTCCTCTCTTCTTTCTCCATCGGTACAAGTTCCTGCTACTTTCTCCTTTTCCCTTTCTTAATTAATGTGTTTTTTTGGCCCAATATAAATCTTAAATAAAATGTTCTGCAATTTGCACCGCAAAAGGTTTCTTCTTTTCCGAGTTCAAATTTGATACTTTTGTTCCGTGAATTCGAGTAGTTTGTTGTTAAGTCTGTTTTTACTCCATTGTGTAATGAATAACCCACAGTGCATAATCTGCACTTTTGTTTCAATGCATTACCCGAAAGCCACTGCCTATGTCTGTCTGGGTGGGCTAATAATTTGCCCAAACCAAATCCTTTTTCTTTCATTCGTTTTGGTAGATTTATATTATATTATGGTATGCTTGTCTTTTGAATGCTAATGCATTTTCATTATTATCTACTAAAGTTATATCAGACCTAGATAGAGGATGATGGCTTATGAAGAACGGTTTGGGCAAGTGGAGAGGCCTACATATGATTGCCTTCTATTTGGTATGATTTCTTGTTTTAAACACCTACTAGTTGGTTGCTGTCACATGTCCTTTCTTTTATACATAAATAAATAATCAGCATTTAACTGACTTGTTTTTTTTAACTGTTTTGTTATTCGAAAGATCTGGATGATACACTTTATCCCCTCAGTTCCGGCTTAGCAGCAGCATGTGGAAAGAATATTACAGGTATTTTGCAACATTCACTTTAACCGCAATACTTTATATGGGAAATTGTTTTGACCTATAATATTATTGATTAGTACTCAAACATGCTTTTATTAGATTACATGGTTGAGAAACTTGGCATAGAACCGAGCATAACTCAAAAATTGGGGAACTTGCTGTATAAAAATTATGGTACTACAATGGCAGGTCTTAGGGTAAGTTTTATTTTATGCCTCTTCCTCCAGTAGAGGGTTCTTTTTCAATTCCTCTACGAAAGAAGCTGTTGCCCTTGTTTATGACATACAAATTTTGCTTATGAGAAAGCTGTAATGTTTTTCCCAGGCAATTGGCTATGATTTCGACTACGATGAATATCACAGGTGAGAGTTCAATCAAAGTGCTTATTGTTTTCACACAAACAATACCTTTTTCAAAGGATTAAAGGATTGCATACACACTTGTTTAAGATTTTTTCCACACCGACATGTTTTTTAAATCTTAGACTTAAGGTTGTACAGAAAATGTTGTACAGCCACTTTTTACAACACATTACACCCTTGACATGGACATTTTATTATTCATACAGTTTTTTTGTGTCTGAATGAATTATCCCAAACAAGAAAAAAGTATCTCCTTCTTATAGACTAATTTTAAGATTAGAAACATAAAGTCATCATCTTTCATACAGTATTCTTGAGTTGTTACATAAAAAGTAAACAGTCTGTTGTAAAGTGTTCGACAAAATGGTTTAACACGGAGCAGAAGTCAAAGCATTCAAGTGCTTGGATAATTCAGCTAACTAAAGCTTGTTGATGCAGCTTTGTACACGGGAGACTGCCATATGAAAATTTGAAGCCCGACCCTGTTCTTCGAAGTCTTCTCTTTACCCTGCCTTACCGGAAAGTTGTATGTCTAGTCTCTCCCTCTATTCCTGTTAAAAAGCTGATTTTGCATTTGATGACCCCTTCTTCAAAACTTATTGGTTTTCTTTCTTTCTTTACGTACAAATGAATAGATTTTCACGAATGCCGATAAGGTCCATGCCCTCAAAGTGCTTAGGATCCTTGGACTGGAGGACTGCTTTGAGGGAATCATATGCTTCGAGACATTGAATCCCAATCCATGCAAAACGTATGTGCCTGATGAAGATGATAGATCAGAGATATTTGATATAATTGGGCATTTCTCTCAACCAGATAATGGTGTTGGGTTGGCGCCATTGCCCAAGACACCAGTGTTGTGCAAGCCGTCTGAAGCTGCCATTGAAAAAGCTCTTCAAATAGCTAATGTTGACCCACATAGAACTGTAAGATCATATATTAGCCTTGTACACTTCTATATAGATGCATTTTTATCTGCCACTCTGCCAGAATTGCACATTTGCGATCAAAATGATGCATTTTCTGAATTAAGTTGTTGCATATATTGTTAGCGTGTGTAAGTCCTTTAGATTGATATATGAGCCTCATTTACAGTTTACATTTTGCATGTGTGAAGATTACCTGATTATATGGAACAAAATTTTATTATTTATGCCAGATCTATTCCTTGTGTTCATTCATTCTCTTCATTGCTTCTTCAGCTGTTCTTCGAAGACAGCGTCCGGAACATACAAGCGGGAAAGTGTGTAGGCCTTCACACTGTTCTGGTCAGTTTTTTGTACATGTTACTCCGTATAATAGTAGTGTGAATGAATAGAACGGTTGTGAGGTTATCCCTGCATAGGAGAGGTCTCGTGTTCGAGTCCCACTAGCACCAGTGGAACTATGCTCCCCCAAAAAAACCTTCAAGTGGTAGGGCCAAGCGGTGTATACTAACCCGTAGGGCCAAACCAAAGTTGGGTTTCTGGGGTAAGGGGCCGTGAAAGCGGTGGAGCTAGTCACTATAAAAAGTTTACCCATACATTAGTTTAACCGGTGGGCGTAGCTCAACTGATAGCGAGGGAGTGCCACAAGGGTTAGGTCTCGGGTTCGAATCCCGGCAACAGCGATGAGTGGTTACTATGCTAAAAATGCACAGGGCCTCTGCAAGTACCGGGGACGGAGCCCTACTCTATATATGTCAGATTGTGATTATAGTCCAATTTACATCCTCCCATCTTGCCGTCCGGTCGGTGTTGGGGGGCCTCAAGGATGGGGTGTCATACTTTTTGTGAATGAATAGAACGGTGTAAATTATTATTATTTTAAGAGTTATTCATGCATAATATAGGCAAAGGCTTGTTGATATTGTTCAGGTTGGGAAGCCTCAGAAAGTGCAGGGTGCAGATTATGTGTTGGAAAGCATCCATAACATGAAGGAGGCATTGCCACAACTCTGGGAAAGTGACAAGGTTGCACAAGTTAATTACTCTGGCACTGCTGTTCCAACATCTGTCACTGCTTAATTAGGTTAGGTAACTGTCAATGCCAATCCGTTGTTTGACGAACCATGCGGGAGGGGGGGGGGGGGGTTCGTCGGCCTCGATTGTGATGTAATTGTACATGTGTTCTTGTAGTTTAATAAAAAAAATAAGAATGCTCCTGCTGCTGTATTATGCGGAGTAGTATAATAATGCATTCATTCATCCTGTAAATAATATGTTGCGTTTCATGCATTCTTATCAACACATTCTCATTTAATTACATAATTTCCATTGTCAACAAATTATTAACATGATGAAAAATTACCATCGGTGGCGTGGCGGACTAAGAACATTTCACAAAGCAGAGGAGCGCGGATGAACATGAGTTTGGTCATATACATTTTCTGGTTCTAAATTTTGGAGGTGTTTGATAAATGACGTTTCAGCCGAAAAATGACGGTTTGATCACGTTTAAATTAATTGGAATGGTGAGGGTGGTTTTTCAAAAAAAAAAAAAAAAAGCTTTTTCAGAAAAGTTGTTTGGTAAATAGGAAAGTTTGGAGTAATCATTTTGAAATGTAGCGTTTTTTACTAATTTTATGGCCAAACATTTAAATTGCTGAATATCTTTTGATAACATGTTCCTCTAGTCAAATCCGTTGACATAATTCATTATCTATTGACCACTAATCACTAAATGTCAAACATACCCTTTATTAATTGCTTGTTCGTTTGGACAGTTTTAGACATGGATATTCAACTTTTCAAAGGAAAAATAGAACGAAGACAAGAACCATCTAGTATTTGTGTACGTTTAAATTAATTGGAATGGTTTCCTACATACATAGTTTCTCATTAATTTCACAATAGGTTGTAGTTATATTTTGTACTAGGGAAAAAACTATTAAATTTGCCCTCATACTATATAAAAAAACAATTAAACCCTCACACAAAATGTTCACTCAATTAAGTACCCCAACATAAAAAAAACGTTCAAAATGGCCCCTTTAAAGGTTACTCTTGGGTTTCTCCAGTTATGTTGCTTATGGATTTCCATGTCATTTTTTTTCAAATTTCTATTAATAAAAAATCCTCCTCACCAAAGTCTTCTCCCCGTTAAGTTGACTAACTTTTCATGGATCCGGAACCTCTGCCATACTTCAAAGTAAGGCACGGTGTCTGACCCTCGTGAACCATCCGATCAAAAAATGGACGGTCGGAGATGTTGAAGCGCAGATCCCGAGGCTGCTCTTCCCCAATACGACGGTCCTCTGCGCGCAAGGCACTCTGCCGTGCGGCAGAGGATCCCAATCCACTTTTCATCCGTCCTGTCTTTCTTGATTGCCAAAAATGAACAGAAGTCCAGGCAATGAAATATTGAAATCCATCCTTCTTCCTCAACTTCTTCCCCTACCACTTAGATCTAAATAGATCCACCAGATTAACGAAGAGACCACCCTCACCATTCACTGCCACCATCTACCAGGCTGGCCACCACGACGCTTAAGACCACCTGATACGTCTTCATCACCACTCCGAAAGGCGGCAAAATCGGACTCATGACGGAGCACAACGACGGGCGTGCCACATCGACTTGCGTTGCTGACCCAGAAGCTTCAACGGAGACGACTGGTGTGCGATGGGTAATTTAGCATCTCCGGCGATCTAGCTTCTTCTTGGACACTGCAGAGTGAAACGCCGGCAGACGAACAATGGGTGGGAGAAAGAAAGAAGGAAGGGGAAAAGAAAGAGCTGGCCGAAGAAGATGGAAGAAGAAAATGGAAAAAGGAAAATAGAGGAATTTGACTTGTCTGAAGTTTGCCGGTAGCGCGGGTGGATGGAGAAACGGGAAGCAGGTGGAGGAAAAGGAAAAAGAAAGAAAAAAGAAAAGGGAAATGGAAAAAAGGAATATGAAAAAAGTCACATGTGTCACCATAGTATAAACAAAGGGAAATTATCGTTGACCTCCCTTGAGGTGTGATGTATTATCAATCACATCCCTATATTATCAAAAATATAATCTTACCCCCCTCCCTATCCATTAATGATGGTTAAATAACTCTTAATCTATATTTAGAGCAAATTATAGATATAATTTCATAGACAAATCTTCATGTCAGGCCGGCCTGACGGGATGCTCCGTCCGGACGAGCCCGTTTGAGCACCTTCCCGGTGGAATTTTTTTATGAAATTTTTTGAGCATGTTCCTCATCAAGTCTAGTTTGTCCATACCAAATTTCAGCTCTAAATTCGATCGGGAAGGCATTCAAATAATTTTTTGAAGTTGACTGCAGTTTTATATGTATATTTTGACGCAGTCAACTTCAAAAAATGATTTGAATGCCTTCCCGATCGAATTTTGAGCTGAAATTTGGTATGGACAAACTAGACTTGATGAGGAACATTCTCAAAAACATTCATCAAAAACTTCCACCGGGAAGGTGCCCAAACGGTCTCGGCCGGACGGAGCATCCCGTCAGGCCGGCCTGACATGAAGACCACTCGTGGTCTAATTTCATAACTTTTCATTATGTCGCTTTTAATACTGTAATTTTATTCAATCACAAATTTGGTTGGGTAATTTTATTAAATTTGTCCATACTAAATACATTTTTATCAGAAGTCGAACAAAATAATAAAAAAGAGACCAAAACTGACCTACTTTAGGTAGTTTGTTTTATGCCTTTCAATTTGTAAAGTTAGTAAATTTACTCAATTGAAAATGATCAACTTAAATGAACCAAACCGACTCAAAAATGAAGTTTACTACTCAATTTTACCATTAAAAATTAAATGCAAGAAAATTTTCAATTTGCACTCTAGACACTCTTTGTTATCACAGGAAATGAGATCATTATAGGTATAATAACACCTTGTAAATTAATATTTGACAAAATATGAACATGTTTACATGTAAAAATACTGGTAAAGCAATTATAGTTTAGGACAATGATATTCGTGTAATTTATGATTGTATGTTTCTATTTTTAACTAGTTTTTATTAGTTCTAATTGTGGAAATTACACATTTTTGGTGTAATACTTTATTTTCATTTTTATTTGTAATTTGATTAGATTAGGATTATTCTGAGCTAAACAGGCGAAAGATCATCCAAGGGATCAAGTTTTGACCTTAAAAGATCAAGGAAAGTGCAAGGAGGCAAGAAAGATTTCGATTTGGAAAAAATATTCATGTACCCAGTCGGGTGTTGCCTATACCCGATCGGGTATTTGCTTGATTCGATTGTCCAAATCAAATTCGGGAACAAATGATCGTGGGAGCAGATTTTCGTGAAGATTTGTCACATACCCGATCGGGTATATACCCTTACCCGATCGGGTATGCCAGAAAAGTGACTTTCTAGGCAATTTCCTAAGATACTCGGTCGGGTATCCTATATACCCGGTCGGGTATCAGACCCTGCAACCCCCAAAAGCCTATAAATACACCACTTTCCTTCCCAAGAAGATCACCAATTCACATATACTCTTTAGCTCAATTTAGATTAGTGTTTTCTTTGCATTTTCTATCATGTTTAGTCTCCAAATGAGGAGCTAAACTCTTCCATCTTGGTTTTGGTACTTTGAAGCATAATGAATTGTAAGTTGTGAGTTATTTTCTTTAATCTTCTTCCTTGAATATTATTTTTTCCCTTAATACTATCTCTATATTAATGTTGAGGAGTGTTGCTAAGATGACAATTAGTTAACATCTCGACATTAGTTATAGTAGTATTTATTTTCTTCCTCTATATTAATGTTGGGGAGTGTTGCTAAGATGACAATTAGTTAACATCTTGACATTAGTTATAGTGGGATTTATCTTCTTTAATATTCTTCCTTGAATATTAATTAATTCTTATTCATATTTCATATTAATATTTTGAGCATTTCTTAAAGGATCAACTAGTTTTGTTTCATATATTAATTAATATCAGAATTGATCGACGAATACGCTTGTTAATCGTTCGGTCGTTTCACGGTAGTAAACTTGGATTAATAATGCATGTGTTTCATGGTTAATAATCTAAGGGGAATTAATTATATTGATTAAACCAATAAACCGCTTGTGTTGAGGTTATCAATCTCAATCGTTTTCATCTTAAGTTTATTGCTACTATCGGGTAAATATACGGCGCGTGTTCTATATTGACTCGGCAGTAAGTTTTGTTAATGAACGCGTCTCGTTATTAATAACTACCCTCGATGAATTGGATATACTCCTCGATTGAGTATTCGAGAGGAAGATAGTTAAAGATATAACCGGGATCGACGAACATCTCATTAAGTGGATAAAAGCAAAACCAAGTCCTCATCTCTATTAATTAAACTCATATAAGTCGTTCATCTTCGTATTTAATTAATTAAATCAAATCAAAGTTTAAATCCCCCTTGTTACTAGTTACATAAAAAGAGAAGTATTCCTTTCCATGTGGATACGAACCTTACTTCAATATACTACATATAATTGTTGTATTGATAATTATTTTAAGTGCACACCACGACAAAGTGCACGTCACACAGGTTGCACACCCAAACTTGTTAGCCCTAAATAATTAGAGCGACCCATGACCTTCAATTCGGTTCCAATCTCCTAATTGGTCTAGATTCGCTCATGATAGTTCAAATATTTTAACTACCTGTTTTTCAACTTATAAATGGGCTATAACCCATCTTAAAATATTCTCAATGGTTTTAATGGAAAAAAAAATGAATGAGGTCAAAACAAGGGCTCCAATTCCGGTCCCAAAAAGTGAGGCACGGGGCCTCTTTTTCACCGGTCTGGTATCGGTTCCGATCTGAATTCTTAATTTAAAATTCAGCCATTCTCGAGACCGGGCCTTGTCCTCCCCGAATATGAATCACAAAAGTAGGTATTTTGACCATTTTCCATACGAATCAACAATAGGTAACAATAGTCTCCTAAAAGTTCTTCGCCAATATCTATTTTAGGTATAAAATAACATTCCTCGTTATTGGGCATCTTTCCCTCGTTAGTAAAGTTTCACCAAGATTATATATTTCTACAATCTCAGATATATTTTCAAACTTTTAAAAGTAATAGATATTTATTGTTTTAAGTATGTACCTTTTGATTGTGTCTGCTACTAGTTCTGTAATTTTACTCACATGTAGATGTAGTTAAGTACCTAATAAATTTGTCAATAGTAAGGACTATTTCATCGGAAAGTATGTGCTCTTGCAAAAAAATACTTTCTGGTAGAAAGATTCTTAATACAGGTAAATTTATTAAGTATCAGATTAAATTTGCGAGTGAGAAAATTTATAAAACTAAATTT